GCGAAGATGAGGTTGAGGATGATGAATCAGAAAATGAAATAGATAATAGATTCTTTCACACATAACGTTTATTGTAAATAAATATTCGAAAAAAGTTGTATATTTTTATATAATTACTAGTAAAACTTCAAAAATGAAAAAATAATACATATCTTATACCGCACAAGCTTGAAATTTGGTTATATAATAGCTAACTTAGTAAGTTAAACGAAAAAAATGCTCAACTTTACATTTAGTGAAGGAAAAGTGCTCAGCTTATAAAGTCAAAGATGGACGCGCTCGCGCGCATAACGATGTGCTGCACCTTCAACTCGTCAGCTGAGCACTTATACACCTCAAAAGCTTCAGCGGGCAATTTTTTTCGTATAACTGATTAAGATGACTATTACTTTACCAAATTTCAGCTTTTGCGGTATCAGTTTACCTAGCGCATATTTTTGACTTATTTAGATGAAAAGCTGAGGCATAACTCCCCACTCTAAAGTCAGTTGATTGCGTTTTTTCGTTTGTTTATAACATAATCAACATGTCGACAAAGTCTCAGCTTTTGCAGTATTAGTTTTTTCTAATGACTATTTTTCGTATTTGGGAGTCTGCCGCAACTGTACCCCCCGGAAGCGCGAGCTGGAAGTCGATTCTCTTACTAGTGACACCAAATGAAGCATAGGAAAATTTTTCAGCTTTTACTCTTTTGGTCATCAAAAAAGGTCGCTGGCTCCCGGGCTATTACTTCACTCCATTTTTTCCTATTATTTATAAGTTTATTTGATTTTAACTTCACTAGGATGTAATTGACTGCATTTTCCTGAAAATTCTTGGATTTGGTTACCATATTAAATAACCTTATCATGTACAAAAATAGAAAATGATAATAAGGTTCAGTGTGTGTTAGTATTGTTGAAAATTATGGCCATCTCCAAACATTTTCCGAAATTCTGTCAATGCAGTTGAAGACAATGGTGCAAAAACTGAATAACTAAGAATATGCAAATTTATCAAGATAACGAAAAAAACTCTTTTATTATGAAATGAAATGACAAACACTATGCCAAAAAATCATTTTTCATGCAAAAATGGTGAATACGTTCCAAAATCCATTCAGAGAATTTTTAAATATTTTGGTCATTCCTCTTTTAAAAAGGCACTCTACATTTGTTTCGATAAAATTAGCCGTTTTCGATAAAATTAAGTTTTTGTATAACACATTTAAACACTGACTTTCAGCAATTGTGTGGAAGCGAGAAGAATTTATTCTGATACATTCCCAAATCACTTAAACGCAAGGATGTTAAAAATTCGAAAGCTGTGCTGCTTCTTGTTTACCTGAGCAGATTTTCGAAATGGGCGCCCTGCACCTCCTAAACATTTCCTTATCCGACGGATATTTTCTCGTTTAACTTGAAACATTCCATGATTTCGTTGCAATGGTGTATTATTCTTTCTATCAGGTCTTACCTGGTGTGAAATGGCGTCGAATAGACAAGCCTCTTTAAATTTCCCCATAAGAAATCTAATGGTGTCATGTCAGGCGACCTCGGTAGCCATAAAATAGGCCTACCTCGACCTATCCATTGATAACTAAAAGTATTTGATAAGTGCTGATGAACTAAATTTCTAAAATGGGGAAGTGCACCATCATGCATATCTATATCCCGACAGTTTTCTTACACTATTAAAGGGATTTTCAGCAATCTCATCCAGAATTCCTTCCTTTTAACTGAGGGTTCCTCGTGCGGCAAAAAACTACTTAAAATAGATTAGCAAAAGATTATTTCACTTGACTTTTTACCTCTTTCTTGTAAGCTACAATCAACCCTTTCAAAAATTGTTCGGTACGGTAAACGTTGATTTGGAAATGTATCAGAATAAATTCTTCTTGCCTCATACAATTGCCGAATCCATAAATTATGTAGATGCATGTCAGCATATTCGTTATAGGAATAATGCTTCATTATTTAGTCTTGTGTACTCAATCAATGAGTTATTTGCGCCTAAACATGTTCGTTTTTAACCCAAAAAATGCATGTTTTTGAGCCATTTTTCGCGAATATCTCAAGAACTCAAGTTTTATCAAAAAAATGATCATAAGCAAAAATGAAGGTAATTAAATAGCAAAGAGATTATTTTTTTATTTCTGTAGGTGGTATAAAACCCGAGTTATGACTCCCAGAAGTTGGAGTCAAATTCGAGGATAGCTATAATCGAAACGTTCAACGTCCTGTAGCGGAAAAATTAAAGATTTTTCGAGGAAAACTTATATGACACCTATTAAAGTTCTTGAAAAGACCTTTAAATAGAGTGGTGGTAAAAGTCGTTGTTTTGATTTTTGAGGAAAAAAAAATCGGTATTAAAATTAATGACTTGACGGAGAAAAAAATTAAGCGTATTCCTTCTGCAATTTACTATATTTATGTATTAACTGTAGATTCTGGGAATTTGAACGATTTTAGAAGCTTAAATTAAAAAAATATATTTCATTTACTTTTGAATAAAATTTTTCAATTTTTTAAAGAATCGCCTTTTTTCAAAATATTTCAAAAACAAACAAAGTTATAAAAAATGATGGAATAAGAAATTGTAGGTTTTTTTCTTACTGAACAATTTGCTTTTTTTAATTTTGTAGCACAAAATTTGACTGAGTTATGACTGTTAGAATCTCAAAATTAAGCTCCAAGACTGCCTTTCCTGAGCCCTTTTAGCTTACAAATCTAAAAAACGAAGGGCTCAAAAAACTGTAAATCACAGAACTTAAAGTGCTTTAAATTCCCTACAAAATGGTTTTTCGAGTAAATTTATAACTTTAAAATTGAAAAAGTTATGGTAAAAAAATTAATCGCATTTTTTCGGTAAAATTTTCGGAGGGTAAATTCCCATCATCTTTGTGCATTTTTAAAACATTTTGTACAATACATCCATTTATAATGTACCTATATAAAAAATTTTTCATTTGATATTAATTTAATAAAAAATGTTAAGAATAAATTCGATAAAATTAAAAAAAAATTATTTCATCATACTCACATATAATTTTTAAGAAATTTTTCTATAAGGGGTAGGGTTTTTTATGAGGGGTAGGTCTTCCATAAGGGTTTTTTGGGTGGCTGAAAAGTTGCAATATGTCATAGATTATTTGAAAACCAATAAAAAGTTTATAATTCAACATATGCATACCATTAAAACATCTCTAACTTTCAATAATATTTTTTTGTTTATTTTATTATAAGGAATGGTTTTTAAGGGTTGCAACTTTGTAATAAGTCGTTAGCTTTCTAATGAATAACAAAAGAAATGCAAAACATTATGAATGCACCAAAAGAATATTTTAGACTGTTAAAAACTTTTTTTCTATTTTTTTTGGCCATGTAAGGGTACCTAGTTTTTAAGGATTTTTAAGGGTTAAAAAGTAATTAAATTTCATAAATTATATTAAAAAACATGAAAGGTACTTTATCCAACATATCTGAACATGAATTGAATCTTTAAAATACGTAAATCTGCGATTTTCGCAATATTTTCGTACAAGGGTACTTTTCACATCCAAATAGAAAAAAGCACACATCTAGACAATATAACTCGGATGAGCTTGTATGCAAATTTTCATGAAAATCCATGTTATCCGAAAAAATTGGAAGCTTTTACCTTATTTTCACTTTCAGTGACTGGACTATGGCGTTTTATTGCAGTATGTATTCTGATTTATTATTTCAATGACAAAAACTATTTTTTTTTCGGAAATGCCTAATTTTATCGAAACAAATGTACACTACCTTTTTCAATGAGAAATGACCAAAGTATTTAAAAATTCAGTTTTCATATCTACAGGGTGATTTTTAAGTTGGGTTTGGGTTGAGTGGCCTCCGAGATCTCCAGATCTGACTCCATGTGACTTTTTTTGTGGGGCTACATGAAATCCTTAATGTACCAAATTCCTGTAGAAACAGTGGAAGAATTGATTGGACGCATAGAGGAGGCTGCTATTACGATTAGAAGGAAATCAGTTTCTTTACTTCGCGCGGTGACTGAACAGTGGTTACGTCGAGCTGAACTATGCATGCGTCGAAGTAAATGGAGCTCATTTTGAGCATATCAGTTAGATTAAATTTAGTAAAATTTTCGTAACATACCTACTTAAGTAATTTTGAATTAAAGTTACATTTGATTTTGAATGTGGAATAAAACTATTTCTTCTTTTTTATTTGAAAACTATGAGTCGTGTGAAAAAAACTCAAGAGAGCTTTCTTCTTCAAAACTGAACAGAGAAATCAAAAATAAATTATTTTTATGTTTCGAAGAAACAGTAGCGTACCATTTTTTTCTTAAAAAATATTGAATTATCTGTTGGTACGTGCGCCACTGATAGATTTAGAGATATTCTGCTTATCGAATAATATGCGACTTTTGGAGTTATCAATGCCTGTAAAATTTCATTAACATATCACAAGCGGTTTCGTAGAAAAAAATTCATTTTTAAAATTTTTAAACAAAACTTTAACCCCCTGTACTTTCGTTAATATTGACATTTCGAAAAAGTGGTAAAGGAAAAAAATATTTATTTTTTTTAGCTTTATTTGGCGGTAGAAGGATTTATCCAACTTAAAAATCACCCTGTATAAAATGACACCTGTAAAAATTTTGGCCCAACGAGTGTGGTTGCTATGGTTTTATGAGCCTTTATGGCCTACATAAAATATTAAAATTTCATTAAATTATACAAGTCGGGTCAAAAGTTAGAGCCGAAAAGAAAATCGCTGGGTACCCTTTTGGGGCGCTGTATCTCCGTTAAAAGGCACATTAGGAATTTTTTTGTGACAAACTAAGGTTATTTTGACCTCCCCAGACACCTTATTTATGAGATATCATATTATTTCTAAATTATACGCATATCCTCTTCTTGAACTCTTCAATAACTTTTTACAGTGTCAAAACATGATACGTGCCACCGAATTTCATTTAGTTAGTAAAGACTATTTGAAGTAAAACTAAACTGATTTTTCTTCTAGTTTATGTAAAACCCATTTGCCTTCTGGAGGATGATACCCAGATTCCAATTAATTATGTTGTGAGCGGATGGGGCAAAACTGAAAACGGTATGCAGTTTACTTTTATTATTTTCCCCAATATCCTGTTTTTGATACACATCATGTTTTCTGTTTTCCTTTCTAAAGAAGCTTCCCTAAAAAAACAAAGCCTAAACAGTCATGTTTAACAACAATGTACTAATGTCTATTTTTTAGCATCACATAGCAAGGTAAAACTGTTTGTCGAATTGCCTCCGTTCGACAAATCGTCGTGCATAGAAAAATACACGACTTACAGAATATATCTCAACGAGTCACAGGTCTGCGCGGGAGGCGAAGAACTGGCGGACAGCTGTACTGGAGATTCGGGAGGTCCTCTGATGATGCAAAAAGATAACGACACTTGGTACGCTGCGGGTGTGGTGAGCTTCGGAGTAGGCTGTGGAACGAGGGGATTACCAGGAGTATACACGAACATTGCCAAGTTTCTACCATGGATCAAATCTCAAATGGTAGAATAACAGAACAGTTGTAGAAAAAATGCTGAAGATCATTGAAACAAGGTTGTCATGAACATCCACACAATAAAGTAGTTTCCTTCAACCGCAAAGAAATTGAAATATTCATTCCTGAAAAATATGTATTTCATAAATATATGATTTTTTTATTTCAATTTAAAATTTTATTTGTCATAAATTAAACGACATTTCGATTGCATAATTATTGTATGCGTTATTTTCAATTAGGTCAAGCAGTTCAATAGTTAGAAAAGACCCCATTGTGGCAACAAGTTCTGTCAAACTTTAGTAAAATATTGAAAATATGACATTTACGTTTTGATCATTTTTCCGATAATGAAAATATTACACTGAATTTGTGATTTTGTCATATTCTCAAACAAAATTATAACAAAATTTGACACACCTTGTAGCTAAATATATATGTCTTACGACTGTGTGGATTTTTGTGACAATATGTTTTCTGGGTTGCAATAAATAAAATACTAAGAACCTCCAAAACTCCAAATCGTTTTGTTTACATTACAGTTTAAAGTATGTGATTAGCAGGAAAAAATATATGATAAAACTTTAGTTGTATATAATAATTAGAATAAAAATAAAATAATATTTAACTTTACTACAAGTTTATTCAATATAAAACCAATAAAATTTCAAGTCTACACTCTACGAAAATATCTGTATGCTATAACTTCGGTTAGCACCTTACTGTCAAAATCACCCACAAATTATTAAACACACATATTTTATTTAAACATTGATTACATTAATTAACGTACAATAAATGTAGGAAGAAATTACATCTTGAAATAAAACACAGAGCTTTAAAGTCCAACCGATAAATGAACTTGAAAAATACTGTTAAAAAATGATTACAACTTGTCTCGACATGTTACTAACAGTTTGCTTTTATCGAGTCAAGAAATTTAGACACTGTAGAGATATACAGGGTGGCCCAATTTTCAATGCAACAGGTTTTTCCGGAAAACCCCGAAACAAGTCGATTTGGCTTTTAATGGGGATATCTTTTGATCAGAAATTCATTGACATCCCCCTAAACGAGGTGGCAACACCTTCAAGAATCTTAAAAGGAACGGTGGGTTAAATGGCACATCATTTTAAAGGTATTTCAATTCTTCTTACAAACATGCTGAATTTTTTTTTGTTCTGCCTTAAAGTTAATATAAAAAACCTGTTGCAAGTGTCGGTGAAATAAATCGAAAAAAAATTTTTTTCAAACAAGTTATAATTTTCCAAAAATCTTGGAAATTGAGATAACTGTCAACAAGTATTAAGTTAGATATCTGTCATAAATCAGTTTGACACCATTTATTGATTCAATATAATGGAGGATTTTAGTTATACGAGGAATTTGCAAATATTCATTTAATGTACTAACTTGCAGAATGTAATCCTTCTGAAGCTGTTCGGATTTACGCCAACCACTTTCCAAATAGAATTCGCATATTTGTAGTGATGAAAACTCCCATGCTTTTATTCAGACAAAGCACTAACAAAAACGTTCAATAATGTATGGACGGGAATAATTGGAAACTACTTAGTGGAACCACATATCATTAATGACAGTTTAAATGGGAAGACATACATTTACTGCAAAAATACCTTAACTCTATTGGAAGACGACCCTTTAAATATTTGAAATAACATGTGGCTTATGCCCGATGGTGCACCACCCCATTTTAGCAGGGCAGTAAGGTTTTATTTAAATACCACATTTTCCGATCGGTCGAGGTAGTCCCTTTCCGTGGCCGCCTCGGTCTCCCGATCTGAATTCTGTCGATTTTTTTCTTTGGAGCCATCTTAAAAGTCTTGTTTATCAAACTCCTATAAATAGTAGGGAAGAATTATTAAATCACATAATTACATAGGCCGATATCATTAGAAGTGAACACCACATGTTATTTTGAGTAAGGCAGAGGTGTTTGAGCAATTTTAGAAAATGCATTGAAGTTCAACGTGCACATCTTAACATTTCTCTTTTTCCTTTTATTTCTATGGAAACCAAGATTTTTACAAAAATGATAGTATCACATTTTTGATACAATAACTGTGTTGTTAATAAAATTCGATTTTCTCAAAAACGGTACAAGATATTGACTGATTGATATACGGTATACCTTTTTTTAACAAAGTGAGAGAAGAATCGAACTATGAACGAAATATGTCAAATTTGGTATCACTGTCAAAGATATATAAATTTAAATGGATAATTTCGTCTGCTTCTGTATAATCCAGTGCTATTGAATATGAGTTTAAACTTGGAAAAGAACATTACCATTAATTGCCCAAATTTCATTGTTGTCATGGTAATGACTTAAAAGTTATAATTGGAATTGTTTTCAAACTTCTTTCTTTGAAGGCGAATAACTCCAGAATGAAGCCCGATAGGAAGAAAATATATATTGAACTCCCCTGTACACCCCTTCATTTTTGACATGACCTTTCCGGACACCCTGTACACTATATATTTTTTTAATTTTTGTCTCAAAATGTCTTTGAGTAAGTTTCATTTTTAAGAATGACTTACAACAGGAAAATTAATATTGGATGAAATCTACGAAATATACGACTTCTTTGCGATAAATTTTAACCCAAGTGATAACACCTCTATATCAAAAATGTTTCTTAGTACTGCTAATCGCAATTATTTCTTAATTTGGTCTGGATATTGTTCTAAGAAAGATCTCTGATAAATTTTAACTGAAGATATGATTACCCAAAATGGTTTTCTAAAACTGCCTAGGATTTATTTCCTTATTTGCTAACTAAAGACTATTTATTAATTTTGCTAAAACTACTAGTAACATAATATTATTTCATTATAATGAAAAACTCTCAGTACGATTTATTAATCCTGATTTACAAATAAAGCTATAAAATGTCCTCCTTTGATACAATAGTTCACAACTATAATATTGTCAAATCTCGTAATATACAGGAAATGTTATTAAAAAGCAATTTTCCAAAGGGTAATAAACAAATAATACAAAATGCGATGCACAAGAATAAGTAAATTATCTGTTTACTCATCTGATTTTTACAGCATATGACATACTTGAAATCTTGTGGCTAATCATCGAGTACTGATTGGTACCGGGATCCTTTTCCACGACGTTTACAATTTCTGGTTCTAAATTTCTCATTCTTTGAGTTTGTTCCCGTCCAACATTAGAGTATTAGCGTTCAAAGCTTCTATTATTATTTTATACTCTTTTCTTATTCAGTACTTACATATACCTGTACGAGTACATAGCTCGGAATAATCAATCTGATATTGTCTTGCATCAGCATCTTCACGAGAAATTGGCACCAATCATATCAACTCTTTTTTTATTCGTGTACATACTTTTTCATATCACACAAAAACTTGAAAACGAAAACATAAAAATATACTATACAGTCGACACAACAGTACAAACAATCGACTTTCGGGCCTAGAGGTCAGACTATGTTTATTATACGTTTTTTGGGTAGCTCAATCCGAATCCGAGGTGCATTTAATCCCATCACTTCAGGATTTTTCATAACCTCAAAACAAAACGATATTCTGAACAATTAAACCATATAACCTTAAGATTCAAGCTTCCAAAGCTAAATCCAATTAACCAAATCCCATGAACATTTAACCCGATGATGTCCCAACCTAATAAGCCCAAGAGCCCAAACCCCAATAACCCCATAACCCCATAACCAAAGGAATACACACTTGAAAACCCAAGTACTCAAACCCAAAAAATTCCCATAACACCATATCCCCATAACCCAGTAACTTTATAACCACCTAATAAATCATAGGCAATCTGTATTATGGCTAAACGTTAACGTGGTTGAGGATTTCTTAAAAACCTACGCTTTCAAACCCCCAAAACACCCATGACCCTACAATTCATAATCCCACGATTCCCTAACCATAACTTATAAGAGCTTTTGAAAAAAAAAAATTATTTATACGATAAACCGTACTATAAATTAATCATTAAAACTAAAATAAATAAATGAATGATTAATGTTAAGAATCTCTCTTGACTAGATTAAATCAAATGAAAATCCAAAGGATAACAACAGATAACCCAAAAAATTATATTACTAGAATGGCTTGAGTGCGTAGGTTTTTAAGAAATCATCAACCACGTTAACGTTTAGCCATAATACAGACTGCCTATGATTTATTAGTTGATTATGAAGTTACGGGGTTATGGAGTTATAGGGTTTTAGGAATTTTTTGGGTTTGAACACTTGGGTTTTCAAGGAGTCCTCAACTATGTGATGTTTTGCAATAATTCAGATTCTCTATGATTTATTCCCTTGGTTATGGGGTTCTAGGATTATTGGGGTTTGGGTTCATGGGCTTATTAGGTTGGGATATCATTGGGTTAAATGTTTATGGGATTTGGTTAATTGGATTTAGCAACTTGAGTCTTAAGGTTATATGGTTTAATTGTTCAGAATATCGGTTTTTTGAGGTTATGAAAAATTCTGAGGTGATGAAGTTAAATGGATTCGGATTCAGCGACCCAAAAAGCGTATAATAAACATTATCTGACCTCTGATCCCGAAAGCCGATTTTTTTGTGTGGCTGCGAATTAACGTTATAAGGTTATACGTTTACACTACTCAAAGACTGAATGTTTCGATAAATTAACGTGGCAGTTTGTTTTTTACCGATTTGCCATCCCGTTATATCACACAAGGTGTGAAGTCATCAGGCAGTAACGGCTTTTTGGAGGCGGCAATACAAAATTTTAACAGAACAGCGGAGGCTAAGCTCCGTTGCCTTTTGTAATCCTTCGGAACAGAATCAAATTCTACTTAAATTTAAATCGTTCACAATTTACTTTCACGTATTCTCCCAATGGACGAGCAGCGAAAATTATTCGAAGATTCTTGTAACTTTTAAAATAATATTACCTAAGGGATGTTTTCTAATATAAGGTAGCTAGCCTTGTTTCATCAGTAAAGCAAGGCAAATATGCACGAAAAATTACAAAAAATATGCGCATTAATTATTAATTATATAATTATTTATTTTATTATGTAATTATAATATGCAAATAAATTTCAAATATATGAAAAATATGCAAAAATACACGTATATATTAAAATATGTTTATTAATTATTATAGTACAAAGTAAACTAATCTGACTAAAAAACTAATCCAAACTAATTTTCACCCTATATGTGCAAGCATTTCCAAGTCAGTCAAACACAAATAAAATAACCTAATAACTCAATCATCTTTTACGTTTGTAAAAACATTAGATTATCTTGACTTCGACATACACCTAAATTTGGTGGGGGGAAAAGAGAAAACAGACAAGTTTAAAGATTATCAACCACAATCCACACAATGTGTTATTATTTGTTCACGAGAAGCAAAATGGGAATGCCCAACAGATTGTTCTATATACTCGCATGTGCCATTTTCATTGTTGCTGTGAAGTGCCTTAGTGGAAACGCCACTACAAGAGGAAGAGAGGAAGGAAATGTGACGTCAACTTCTGATGGAAATGCGACGGAAGTTTTCAATGAAGGTTAGTCAGTAGATATGTAATTCTGAGGTTAAAAATCTGCTATGTGAATACAAAACATGATTCAAACTGCAAAATTATTCCAACCGTAAAATTATGAAACTACTATAGAGATGGTAAACACTAATTAATTGTAAGTAAGTACAAGACTGTACTGAATTTTTAACACTCTTTAGGGACTATTCTTTTCCGAGAACTACAGAACATGTATGAATTTAGTGGAGAAACAACACGATTTTCATGAAACAGGCAGTAGCATAACAAAATATTTTTTAAATACCCACCTAAATTGAAAAATATCAACTCAATAGCTTATTGCTTCGATAAATATAGGCTGGTTTGTATATACTGCCAAAAGTTTTAGATTATCCTGCAGTAATCTAATTGTATATATTTTCCTCATTTTCAGAGGATATGTAGGAGGTAATAATAAATAATAATAAAAAAAGAGTTAAAAAAAAAGTAGAATCATTTAATTTTATTTGTAAGACCTGTTGAAACAATAGGTGCAAGCATAAATTTTAGCATCATCGTTATTGGTTCTTTTGTATAGGTATACATATTTAATGCCCATTTTCTCGGATTTATCGAACTTGAACAAAAGCATCTTCTTGTGCCCCTTAAATTTTCTTTCAGGAAAATAATATTGTCGAAAAGGTCACAGATACCTTTTTTTAGAGAAGAAAACCATCAGTCGCCTCGAAAAAGCTATTTCTCCATCGATAACTTAAAGACCTACACTGAGTTTCAATTGGAACATAACAGCAATTTTGTAGTTATCTAAAAAAGTGTGGTTATGGTTTTGCTTAAAATTGTAATTCATATCTCAGTTTTAGTTCAGCACCATGTTTGTTTAGAGTACAAATACAATTCGCAAATTGGATAAGTTTTATTTATTTATTTTCACATTTATAAAGGGTGTATCAAAATTAACCTCTTGACGATATTTTTCTGAGGAGCGATTTTATTTAATATCCAAAATATTTGGTGAAATTTGAAAGGCTAATTAGGCATCCGATTTTACAATTTCGTTAAAATCGATGTTACTCGAAAATGGTACCTACACACAATAAGACATAAGAACGCATTCAACGTTTAAAATTCGCTATAAAATTTGGAAAAACCACCTACAAAAATTGGGGTAGTTTTAACCCACACCCTATCAGTTCTGATCTATTAATTACAAAAAAAAACAGTTAGACGTATAAAGTTTAATTTATTTATTATTTTCCGAATTATGTTTTCCATTATTAAATGTAGAATCAATGACGTTTGACAGACTGATTATTATGGATCGTCCAGTAATTAATGAGTTATTTTCACTGATTACGACTTGAACTGTATCTTGTTTCAGATGTGGTTAGAGAATGTGACACACCGAATCATAAACCTGGAATCTGCGTCGACATCAGAAAATGTGAAATTCTCCTAAAGCAACTGCTAAATAAAGAGGCGTGGCCTTTTTTACGGGCATCCATATGTAAACAACCAAGCATAAACGACCTTTATCCGAAAGTGTGTTGTGGGGAGGACGATAACTTTACAAATGACAGCAAAGTTGCTGGTACGTAAGTAACATTAGTGTCATTTGGAGATTTTTAATTTAAATGTGCTTTATTTAATTTAAAAGGAGATTTTAAAAAAGCTAAATAATAGGAACAAGTAAACTTCAAATTATTGACAATAAAAACTCGTCTCTAGGAGATTGTTAAAATGAGAAACGAAAAATAGAGGGACTAAACGAAAGCGTAACCCTTTGCATAGATCCTTTGAAAAAAGAGAACACGTTATAGCAATAAAAATAAGAATGATTTGTAGATATCGTTTTCTTTTGTTTAGAAAGTAGAGTATTCTACAAGTTTTATTGCACTCTCAATCTTCTAAGCTGTTAACTCATTTCTCAGCACAAAAAGTAGATGGATAGATGGGTGGATGGGTGGGTTTTATAGGTGGTACAGGTGGATGAATAAATTTGCGTATTCATCCATGAATGACTGGATAGAAAGATGTATGAATTCATAAATGGGTGGGTGGATAAAAAGATGGATCCAGAACTCTGCAACACGAATTATACCATGAAAATGGTGTTTTTAAGCATTTTGATCTATTTTTCTGTTTTTTAATGAAATTGGACCAGCTTGTCTGACTCTATGATGATAAATTGGAATTAAACGAATGAAAAATCATACGTCTAGTGATCTGGTAGAATAATTTGATTTTTTATAACTGTCGTCGATAGTAAATGGCGTTTCATGTGAATGTTGACAGGTTTTTTTAATTTTCCCGAAAACTCAGACCCGTTGGGCCAAATCTGAAGGCAGATTCTGATTCAGCGGAAAAAATACGTGGAAATACAGGGTCTGAATACCAGATCCGATACTTTTTTTTTGGGGGGCTGTGTTATGAAACACCCTGTACATACAGAGCGTATTTTAAGGTCATGTCATGAAATAAATGGGTTATTAAATACCCTGCAAGTCCTATTTATTATCTCGCGACGCTCTCCATGAATTTAGAATGTCAGCATTTGAATAAATGTTAACGTTTTCCATTCTGTAACAATAAATAATACTTAAATAAACATTCACTGTATGTGTTAAATTGACAACAATAAACTGGTGACGGATTAGGTGTTTGTTTTGAACTTCCACTTAAAATTTCATAGCTATCCTCGCAAGAAATTATGTGATATCCGTTGACTGCACGAAAAACAGTAAATTCCTTAAAAACTAGAAGAGATAGGTGTAGGGAACCATTATACTGTAAGCTTTGGTATTTTTCGTAAGGAGAAATAAAGGGTTGAAGAGGTAAGAAAGGTAGAAATCGGTTGTCGATTATTACGATGAAAACATATGAATATTTGTTATTTATCTTGCGGGCGTACACATATGTACATATGTGTAACTAAAGCAAAATGTAAATACCTCAGACAAATACGGCCCCTTGCCGGGGCAGATCACGACTTGGCTGTTGTGATGGTGAGATGATGTGATCCTTTCTTAGTGAATGGCCACTATACAGGGTAGCCCATCGAAAACGTACCGCAAGGCATTACAGGGTAGTAAAGAACTTTTCGGCAAAATCCAAAAACAGGTCAAATTTGTTTCTGAGGGGGACAACTTTTGGCTCAAAAAGCATACCAAAATCTTCAACCCCCTAAGTGGGGGTGCCATCTCCCAATTTTTTTTAAATGGGAATGGGGGTCAAGTGGGGGGTCATTAGAAAGGGCTTTTAATTCTCTATACATCGATTCTTACTTTTTGAAAATCGATCCATTATTTTAGAAAATATGCAGCTTTGAAAATACGAACAATATTTTTGACGAGAAATGCGAAAATCGATTTAATTTTACTTCAAAACTTACGGTATTAGCTTGGTAAATTCCTTCAAAAGAATTCGCTGTTTTTTTTTCTGATTTGCGAATTCTTTAGCCTGATTTTGGTGAGCAAAAAATTGTCCGCTTTTTGTTTCGTATTTAGATAGGCCACAAGAAGTTGCTAGATAACTGTCTTGTGACTTGTAGTTGAAGAGTACCAATACTGCCGAGTCTTTTAAATTGATTAATTATGGTGTACTCAATTCCAGAAAGAGTAGAAATTATTGAGCTTTTTTTCAAAAACAATGAATGCGGAAATCGGGTCGCCGAACTGTTCAACCAACGGCATCCTGAGAAACATGCGTCTGGAAAAATTGTTCGCGAATTGGTGGCCAAATTTCGCGAAACTGGCTCCGTTCATAACAAAAAGAGGCAGGTTGAAAATCCGGTACTAAATGAACCTACGGAAATAGCGGTATTGGGGCAAGTGGCAATGGATAGTACGCTGAGTACAATGCAATTGGCTACTGCGACAGGAGTGAGTCGTACAAGTGTCCAACGAATATTAAAAAAATACAAATTCCATCCTTATAAGATTCGGCTAGTGCAAGAGCTAAATGAAGACGATTTTGATCGTCGTTTGCAATTTTGCGAAATAATGACTGAACGAGCGATAAACGATAATTTCCTCTTTAATGTGTGTTTTTCGGACGAGTGTACGTTCTTCTTGAATGGTTTAGTGAATCGCCATAATTGTCGTTACTGGGCTGATACCAATCCAAGGATTTTCCATGAGACACACTCCCAACACCCCCAGAAGTTGAATGTATGGGCAGGTATTTTTGGAAATTCCATTGTAGGTCCTTTTTTCCTTCCTGGAAATTTGACAGGCGATATGTACTTGGATTTACTACAAAATGTCATCGACCCAGCTCTAACAAATATCATAGAGGACGACCCTGCTTACAATGAACACGAACTGATTTTCCAGCAAGACGGAGCTCCTCCACATTACTCGCTCAATGTGCGCAATTACCTAAATGAGACGTTTCCAGGACGCTGGATAGGACGAAGAGGTGCAATTGAGTGGCCCCCTCGGTCACCCGACTTAAATCCTTTAGATTTCTTTCTCTGGGGGCACATTAAAAGCAAAGTTTACAGCACTCCACCTGATACCTTGGAAGATCTGCGAGGACGAATCATTAATGTATGTCGCGAAGTAACACCGCAAGTGCTCCAGAATGTTCGACAACGGTTTGAAGACAACCTGTATCATTGTATGCAAGTTGGCGGACAACATTTTCAGCATTTACTTGACTAATACCGTAAGTTTTGAAGTAAAATTAAATCGATTTTCGCATTTCTCGTCAAAAATATTGTTCGTATTTTCAAAGCTGCATATTTTCTAAAATAATGAATCGATTTTCAAAAAGTAAGAATCGATGTATAGAGAATTAAAAGCCCTTTCTAATGACCCCCCACTTGACCCCCATTCCCATTTGAAAAAATTTAGGGGATAGTACCCCCACTTAGGGGGTTGAAGATTTTGGTATGCTTTTTGAGCCAAAAGTTGTCCCCCTCAGAAACAAATTTGACCTGTTTTTGGATTTTTTCGAAAAGTTCTTTACTACCCTGTAATGCCTTGTGGTACGTTTTCGATGGGCTACCCTGTATACGCCTGTAAATGATTGGAAAGCATACCTGAGCACCCTATTATCTAGTTAATAAATGAATCAATGATTACTGAGTATGTCCTTCGCCTCTGTTTGAAAATATGACTGCGTCTATTTAACATTAACCATATACAGGGTGTGATATATCTACTGCACAATCGATAAGCAACTGTGATACTACTTATCACCAAACTATTCTGTATATTAAACATATAAACAAATCTAAGTATTTTCGTACTGTTCTTGACACCACTCCCGATGTCAACTCCAGGTGTGCAATGGATGTTAGCAAACTCACAAAACACCCACCCAGAGTGCCCCCGTCTTGTGGCACCAATTAGCCTGAGAACACTCCCCCGACTAACCCACTCGCACCTGAGCGCCGTGGAGTACCGCGGCACCAATTAGCCTGAGAACACTCCAGCGACTAACCCACTCGCAGCCCAAATACTGTGGCCAAACATCACAAGACTCACTCAAAAACATTATCCATGGGTCTCTACACTGTCAGTACTGATGAGCAAAACAGTAAAGTGCCTCAAATGCATAGACTACTTATTCACATCAAATGTCATTAAACTTACTAGTAACTGGCCAATCAATTGTGCAGATTGAGCACCTCAATTCATAACAGCAATTCCTCAACAGTTACTAACACAAAATAATCCGTCATACAACAACTCTGATTGTTACTTATATGACATTTTACTTTATTGGGTATATCCCGAAATATGACTACTAATCTATGCAAAAGACACTTAATTATTCCTTCAAAAAATATGCAATCTAATTAATGATGCTCGTCAAATCAAATATATAACTTCTCAATAAGATTGATAACGTAAATTTATATAACATTTCTAACAATTATTATTTTCAAGATGATATGGCAATATTCAAGATACAGATATGCTTGCGATGAAACTATCAATATTAAATAAGAATGTTCAGTAAGTAAACTGTGAATAGACCACTAATCCAAACAAATAGGTATGCTCAGTGAAAGAAACTCACAAGTTATATGAATAGGATATAATCTATACTAATATTATAAAGAGGAAAGATTTGTATTTTTGTATGTATGTTTGTTACGAATAAACTCAAAAACTACTGGACGGATTTCGATAATTCTTTCACCATTAGAATGCTACATTATCCCTGAGTAACATGGACTATATTTTTTAGATCCCAAAATGTTTAAAATAAATGTCCCCCCATGCGAAGCCGGGACGGGCCGCTAGTTTCTAATATATAGGTATGCCCAGTGAGAAAACTCACATTCTATGTATATGAATAAGCCATTATTTCTAATAAATAGGTGTGTTCAGTGAGAAAACTCACCTAATATCCAGTATTCAATTGAGGCACAATTCACAATGTTTTCACAGCACAGTCAACGTAAAAGTGATCTATTTTCAAAGTTTAGGTAAAGGGTCTGTCTGAACTTTATAATCTAAACAAAGCCATTGGGCGTTCACTAGTCACTTGAGCCTTTTTATAAATACCAGATGCTGTGCCGGCCGGGGCAAATATGTGGCTTCTTTCTGACTTAAAACTAGTAATATTTAAAATAGGGTCGTAATACAGGGTGTAAAAAAAATATTATCTTACAATACCATTCGAAAGAGAACAAAATTGTTCATCAGGTTGCGCAAAAATGTACAAGGGGTTCCATTAAAAAAATAAATAAGTTAAGATGGTTTAAAATTGACTAAATTCGGAATTAAATTTCTACTACCCTGTGTGAAATTAAGTTATTTTGAAGTTATGGCAGGCAAGTTTAGAGTTTTAGTTATGTCCTCTATAAATTTTATCGCTCTTTATTGTAAAATACATATCTTTTTTAATTAGGCAGTGCTTTTTAATTTTTTTTTTAAATTAAATATACACACAACTTTAACAACATGAAACCTTTATGAAAGTTCACCTAAAAATTGACGTAGAATCCAAAATTGCAATAATATACAGGGTTTTCCATTTAAAATAACGGAGAGGATGGTATAACTGGAAGCGTTAGGTGGACGCTATTATTTTAGTTGAGAAGAGTATGTCCGAAAACTCTATAGCCCAACTTTTCAAAATTAAAATCGAAGTAGTCTCTGAAACATGCCTAATGCCTCGTCACCGTGGGACAACCTGTATAACGAATTATTCTCTTTAATTAGTTACATCATTTCCTCGATCTACGTTGTTACGGGTTTATTTTAAAAATAAACTGTAAAATGCCGAATTTATTTTATTGTGGCAAGATCTAGACGATTCGGTTCCACAAAATACCTACATAACTATTTCAATTATAATTATTTATACTTAACATTACTTCATTGATAACAAGAAAGAAAAAGATCAATAAATATTATTATATCAATAATTTCACTCCAGCTAGAAATGAACGGCTTTATAATTCATCACCGCCGAGTATGGGCAAAAAGACAATAAGTTTTTGCGGCTTGAAATAAAATTAAAGACGGACTTGGTATTTAGGCTTGAAAGAAAGCAGTCAAAACGCAAAATTGCGGATCTACCCCAGTTGATTAATTAAATAATCCGTTGCACTGCGACCACTGGTTATTGTCGTTGTAGCTAGAACGCAGATTAGTGTCTGGATTTTTGGTGTGAAGTGCAACAGGACTTAATAAGAAAGGCCGCACAACATCTCAGGTAAAGCGAATTGTCACATTTTGGTTTTAATGAGAGCCGTTTATACAAATTTGAGGAGGTGAATCTATTCACCCTCACTGCCTTTATTGCCCGCAATAACTCCGTTCATTTCTAAGCCTTTTTCTTTGTGATTGTCTATGGTCGTCCATTCTGGGACCGACTTACATAATACATCGTGGAGCTAGCAGCCCCAATAATTTGATAACACCCAGTTAGAACATCGGAGATCGCGGAAACGAAACCCCAGCCGCAACCCCAAAATTAGCACGTGGTCACTCCGTGGAGGACTACTTATCACCCAGGATCCTTATACCACCGGACGATAAGGTCATATTTATAATTTATATTATTTTACGTTACCCGTTAGTCGTTCCAAGATTCACCCGGCGGAGCCACGCCTTTAAATGGGTTACCATTTTATTGAAAGAAGCCCTCAAATAATTTATTGCCATTTAATATTACATTATATTTAACGCTTATACGCCTGTAAACCTCATAGTATATACTACGGGAGGCCTTTTTATTCTTCATATTAATTGTACTAAAATATATAACATTGGTTTGTAACATAAACGGGGACGTACTGGTACGATTCTGTAACCGTTTTGGGTCTAGTGCCACTCCCTATTGCCTATTCTTATTATGATCATAGCTTGACCAATCAAAGCAGTTATTAGTCATAGTTAATTGAATTTTTTCCTTTTTATTACATTAAATCTTAAAGTTACTATACTATTTCGTTATTTTATAATTTTCGTTTAGTTATCGTAGCCTTGATGCACCAGCAGAGATGGAGACTGCACTCTCTGCTAACTTTGCAACCGATCAATCACGAATAAAAAGGCTATATATAACTAGCAGTCTCGCCCCTTTTAGTTTTTTAGTATGCTACCAGGTCCATGAGTGGGCAAACGTAGCAACGTTAAGTAACTTCAGAGGTAAAAAAATGTGATATTTTTCAAAAATTTAAACGTCCTCTATATTAGAAATCAGTAACATTAGGTCCAAAATTTATTAAGTCTTTTGGGCCTACAATGATCCAAGGAATCACCGCCTTATGACATGTATTTAAGATACACCCTATGTTGTTTCAGGAATGGATATTTTACCGAAAAACTGTGGTCACCAGCGCGACCGTTGGCGCGACAGAGTAATTGGTGGCCAGGCAGCAAGTCTAGGCGAATACCCTTGGATGGTTCTTCTTTTGCACACAAATAAGTACGGTGCGGTCGGACTTAAATGCACCGGTTTTTTGATACACCTAAAGTACGTCATCACAGCGGCCCATTGTACCCATCCCTCTTCCATTAATAGTCAAAGAGGACCGATGTACGTATAGACACACATAGGATGTTTCCAAATTAGTCGTCTTTAATATTGGTGAAGGTGATTTGGCGTAAGGGGAATCTCATGTAAAGTACATTCGTTGATATAAGAGAATTGGTACTTACGTCAAGCTTCCACCAAGTACTGAAACAGGCAGGGGGTCTAAAGAAGTCTGCACTGAATTATATTTNAAAAACCGGCGGCCGCAAATTGGAGTTTTTATTATTTTATTACCCTTCTCTTTTCATATGCAATTATGAGATAGCAAGAGAGTGGGATGGACGTATAGGCCGGACAACTCATTGTGCACGTGTGCGTGCACCTGGCACTTTCTCGTTTTTTTTAGGTGTGTTTTGCCGGAATTTGAAAGAATGAATTAATCGTACTATTTTTACTATAAACGTATTTCCTGTAGCGACATCTATATGAATATTGTAGTACTTTGTTAGATGAAACGGGACTTCAATTTCCGTTCTTAAGTAACTTCAGAGGTAAAAAGATGTGATATTTTTCAAAAATTTAAACGTCCTCTATATTAGAAATCAGTAACATTAGGTCCAAAATTTATTAAGTCTTTTGGGCCTACAATGATCCAAGGAATCACCGCCTTATGACATGTATTTAAGATACACCCTATGTTGTTTCAGGAATGGATATTTTACCGAAAAACTGTGGTCATCAGAACTACTCGTCCGGCAGCCGAGTAGTTGGCGGCCGGCCAGCAGGTCTAGGCGAATACCCTTGGATGGTTCTTCTTTTGCACACAAATAAGTACGGTGCGGTCGGACTTAAATGCACCGGTTTTTTGATACACCTAAAGTACGTCATCACAGTGGCCCATTGTACCCATCCCTCTTCCATTAATAGTCAAAGAGGACCGATGTACGTATAGACACACATAGGATGTTTCCAAATTAGTCGTCTTTAATATTGGTGAAGGTGATTTGGCGTAAGGGGAATCTCATGTAAAGTACATTCGTTGATATAAGAGAATTGGTACTTACGTCAAGCTTCCACCAAGTACTGAAACAGGCAGGGGGTCTAAAGAAGTCTGCACTGAATTATATTTCAAGAATTTAATTTCTATTTAGCTTAGTATTGAGAGGATGACTTGACTTCTTTTTAAGTACCTCCTCATCTTAAACTTCAGTAATCACAGTTATAGTAAGTGTAATTGAATTTTAATGAGACGTTGGATAGTAGGTACCATACACTTGTATATTTTAATTAAGTATAATATATTTTATTGCCTAAATGTCCACATTATCATGTGCGTAATATTTATATTTGGCTGAAATGATGGCTGAACATTATTAAGTGCGAGAATAGGAAGGCTTTTGGATTTTGGTAGCTGCGATTTTTATTTTTGAAATGAGCGAATAAAAAATTATATATTATTATGGAATACTGGAAACAAAGGAATTGTTTAATTATTGTTAATTATCTTACACTGGTAGAAAAATTGGACTTATTTTCACTCGATTCCATTCAATAATTTATCAGTTTCTGTCCACATCCGATTGAGTGAAACTTTCCTGTGTTAGTATAAGATCTAAAATTTTATCAGTGAAACTATAAGTTTTAGTTCAAATACTATCAAAAATGTGTGAAATTATGAAAATGTCCAATATTGACTGAAAATGTACTCAATAATTCACTCAATAGATTTACTCAAGACCTTTTTGCTTTTACTTAGATCGATTTATTTACAGTGTATTTTTTTTTGTCTATATCAGGTACATAGAGACTATCTTAAGGTATACCTTCGTTTTGAGAGATACATTCCCGTATCTCTGAAAACGTCTTTAGGTACCCCCAAGGGTATGCATACCACTGGTTGAACCACCGTTCTACGAGACTGTTACATGCAAAAAAATTGAGTATATCAAATAATTCTCTTCTGATGCAATTTTCATGATTTTTTCATCTCTTAAATAAAGATGATAAATTGCACTCTCCATGAAATTAATTTTCAAATATGACATTTTCATGCCAATCGAAACAGAAATCCTATGTATTTTTTGCTACCACCAAATGTGCACGCAATCTGTACGATGTCTCTCTATCTATATTCCATCAAAAACAATTTATCTGTAAATGGTTTAATAAAAGATTATCATTAAATCGATATCCAGTTGGACAATAATTTCGTTTGCTATACAATCCCTAAAATTTATTTTTATCATGGGCGGTAATTGAACTCAGGCTGAGGAAGGTAGTCGTTCTCTTAAATCTGTGAATGTGCTTTAAACATATAATAAAAAATTTGCTCTGAAATTTAAGAGACAGAAATCAAAAATAAATCGATATTTTTGAAGCGTCTAGATATGATAGACCTTCTTTGTTACACTTTTACAAAAAAGCATTTGAATACATAAACATATTTATTTTCGATGCATTAACTAACTTTAAAAGAAGTGGTGGATATACCTAGTTATGTGTATTTCCTATTTTTTTTATTATTATTATTTCGTCAGCTTTGAAAAATACTGTTTGGATAGATATATTACATAATATATAAATAATAATTAAAAACTACATATTGAAAATCTAGACATGCGAGTAAAAAATGTATAAAATTAACGTTAATTAAAACAAATTGTTTTAATGCTCTACGAAATATTTCTTTATTTTCCTTTTATGTTATACTTTTGAGGAAAATACGTAACAATTTTTTGTTCCAGAACTTCAGTTTTGTTGGGAGAACATAATATTGTAACTGCTAGGGATTGCTCTTCAGATATGTGTGACAATAATACTCAGTTTCGTAAAATTGACAAAGTGACTACCCATCCTGATTACGATCCCACTAGGTCAGGATATTACAATGATATCGCTATTATCAAATTAAAACAAAATGCTCTTGAGACAGGTATGCCGGATATTGTATTATCTGTTTCCTTTTTTCTTTATTATTTATTATATATTAGTTTATTTGATTATAAGTAACTTATTGGATACACAAGCCAATCATGTATAAAAATCGGTCTTGTATGTTGTTCAGTATGTCCTGAAAATTATGGCCATCTCCAAACATTTTCCGCACTTGTGTCAATGCAATTGAAGACAATGATGCAAAAAGGGGACAACAATATGTAAATTTTTCAGGATTAGCAAAACAATCTTTTATTATAGAATGTAGGTAAATATCATATGCCAAAAAAATCATTTTTCAAGTAAAAATGGGATATGCGAATATGTTGTAAATGTCTAGAACAAAGAGACAACAAACATTTGATGCAAGATATCCCATCATTGCAGCAGTCAATAGTTGTATAAGCTAAGTAAGTTGATCTATTAAGCATATTCTATATTGGCATCAGAAAAAAGATATATATTTTAAGCTTATATCTGAGAAATCTTAATATTTCAAAGTCATATACAAATCCTCTTATTGAACTAAGGGTATTCGATTACATTTTACGGTGTCGAAACGTGATATACACCGTGCCCACCTAGTGCGCGTAAGACCAATATCTAGGTTAATAAAAGATATAACTTAATTTTTTTTTCTACAGAGTTGCCTACTTTCCTGAGCTGCACAAAATGAAAATATATTTGCATATACGCCCTGTTATATGTTCAGTTTTTCCTGGGCATGTACCAACTTCGTTTTTTTAAATGGAAACCTTTTTTTATGGCATTATCCAATTCTACGTGAAAAATTAACGGGACTGTATGATCCCTATTAAAATATTGTTAGTTTTCGACTAACTTTTCATTTTTTTTTCTTATGTTTCGTCACTTCTAGTAGTTGACATAATTATGATTGTATGACAGCTAGAATTTTTTTTTTTTTCAAGAAAGAGTGAAGATGGCTCTTTCAAAAAAACGTATCAAAAGTTGACATGCGATATACAGAGGGCAAAAAGAATCGTGCCTAAACTGATAAATTAAAATTTGAAAAATCTCGACTTTTTCAAATAGAACACCGTGTGCTTTATGATTTCATTAGATGCCTTTCTGTAGACCCTACAATTTTTTAATAGCTTTCCCTATACCTAAGTTGCGTAGTTTTTGCAAAAAAAC